TGGTGTTGGAGAAGACTCTTGAGAGTCCCTTGGACTGCAAGGAGATCCAACCAGTCCATCCTAAAGGAGATCAGTCCTGGGTGTTCATTGGAAGGACTGATGGTGAAGCTGAAACTCCAATATTTTGGCCAACTGATGTGAAGAGCTGCCTCATTTGAAAAGACGTGATGCTGGGAAAGATTGAGGGCAGGAGGAGAAGGGGACAACAGAGGACAAGATGGTTGGATGACATCACTGACTCAGTGGACATGAGTTTGGGTAAACTCTGGGTGTTGGTGACAGACAGGGAGGCCTGGCGTGCTGCAGTTCGTTGGGTTGCAAAGAGTCGGACACGACTGAGCTGAACTGAACGGAAGATCTACATGAGAGAGTGCTTAGGTGATTTGTGTCCTCTGGACTCAACTGCTAAAGACTGCCAAGGATGGTGGTGTGGAGTTGCTAGAGTTTTGGAAAGAACTCAGGGCAGAGGTTAAGTATTTCTGTGACCAAGCAGTTGAAGAACCTGACAGTCCATTGGTTCGCAAAGAGTCGGACACAAATGAGCAAATAGGTGCACAGTGAGAAGCAATATACCCGGATAAGAGCCAAGATTGTTTTCTCTCCACTGCAGTCTAAATGTGTCTGCAGGGACTTCTCTGGTAGTCCAGTGGATAAGACTCCACACTCCCAATGCAGGGGAGCCAGGTTTGATCCCTGGTTGGGGAACTAAGATCCCACATACTGCAGTTGAGCTTGTATGCCACAACTACTGAGTTTGTGTACTCGAGAGCCTGTGTGCCCCAACTAGAGAAGCCCATGCACAGTCAAGGCAAAGCTGGTGTGCAGCAGTGCAGACCCAGCACAGCCAAAAAATAAATAAAAATGAAATGTGTCTGCTGGGCAGCTGTCACAGCTCTAGAACTGTATTCTATTGTAGAGAATATCTTAAAGAGTTCATGTCGAAACTAAAAGGGAAATGAAAACTGAAAAGCATGAAAGTGCAGAAATGATCATGCTTCTCATTTACTTGTAAATGAAAACATTTGTTTTTGCAGGGAAAAAAAAGTATATATATATTTTTTCTTTTTTGTCAAACTTTACACTTTACAATAGGTCTGTGTTGGTTATCCATTTTGAATATAGCAGTTTGTATAGAACCATCTCAAACTTCCTAACTATCCCTTCCCCTTTAAAAAGAGTAAATTCTAGATACTGATTAAGATGTTGGCTACTTTAGCACTGTTATTTTTAGTAATACACAACAAACATGTATTCTTCCTAGTTTTCTGTGTTTGTGAAAAAGTGTTGTCTCTCTGAAACTTCCTTTTCCAAATTATATTATACAAATCTACTTTATTCTTTTAAAATGCAAAATATTATTAATTTTTACATTTTCTCTCCCATGTAACTAGAAAAGAGTATCTCACTGGGGCTTCAGTCAGCACTTTAAAAATGATCATCGGAGTTGAGCCATTTTCATATACTTGTGAATTACGACTATTGTACATTTTCCATTTAAAGAAACCCTATGAATAACTGATTTATATTCATTCATCATATATTATGGAACTTGTCTGATAAACTGCAAGTATTTTCTCCGAGCATCCATATAGTTTATAAAGGACTTCCCAGTACAGTATTATATAACTGTATTCTTCTATACTTTTTCCCCAGTGTTTGTTTACATATGTCTTTCTTCTGGCATTTATGATTGTTGTTGATAAGTCACTCAATCATGTCTGACTCTTTGCAACCCCACGGACTGTAGCCCACCAGGCTCCACCGTTCATGGGATTCTCCAGGCAAGAGTACTGGAGTGGGTTGCCATGTCTCCTCCAGGGGATCTTCCCAACCCAGGGATGGAACCCATGTCTCCTCTATTGGCAGGGCAGATTCTTTACCACTGAGTCACTGTATTTAAGCCCAGTATTGAAGTTAGTTATTATTTTTTTAAAGATAGTTATAGAATAATATAAACCCACTAATATCTTCCTGTTTGTTCTTTTTTTTTTTCTTTTTTTTTTTTTTATTAGTTGGAGGCTAATTACATCATCATTCCTGTTTGTTCTTAACATGCATTTTTAAGTTTTTTTTCTATTGACTTAGTTTACATTACTATTTTCAAGGAAAACACCCTTTTAATCTAAAAAATGTCTAACTCTATGAACAATAGTATTACAGAACCATTATATATCTTATAAATTTATCAGAATTTTTTGGATATACTTTGTACTTTTACTTTAGTATCTTTCAAGAATAATCATCATTTGTTGTACTTTTCAGTCTTTTCTTATCATTTTATCTCATACCAAATAAATAGAATTTATAAAAATGAAAAGTAAAAAAAAAAAGGTGAAAAGTAAAAGTTCTTTTTCAATCCAAATTTCTAGAGAGTACTTTGGGAAGTGATTTAAATCGGGAATCTTCCCAAGAAGACCAAGGTTAGACTAGTGAAAAGTCAGTTTGAATTAAATGGATCTTGGATGAAAGTGTGAAATAGAGGATTTCCTTCTTTATTAATTCACATTTCTCATTTTAACCAGAGGACTAGCAAAGTCTAAGTCTCCCACAGCAGAAAGGGCCTGAATACTCAGGCGGGCCTATGAATCCATCAGCTTGGGTGACTACAGAATGTGTTTATCACTTTCTTAAGGAAATTCTTAGAGGTGTCAAGGAGCAGCTATCTGAGAACAGATTCTACAAACTGGTCACTAAGAGCTTCATGTGGCGTCTGAGCAAAGAAAACCTAAATTAGTCCTGTACTCTGAGGTGCTAACTGCGTGGCTGCTAAATCACTTCAGTCGTGTCTGACTCTGTGACCCCATGGACTGTAGCCTGCCAGGCTCCTCTGTCCATGGGATTCTCCAGGCAAGAATACTGGAGTGGGTTGCCATGTCCTCCTCCAGGGGATCTTCCTGCCCCAGGGACTGAACCCACATCTCCTGTATGGGCATGCGCATTGAACCCACATCTCCTGTACGGGCATGCGCATTGAACCCACATCTCCTGTATGGGCATGCGCATTGAACCCACATCTCCTGTATGGGCATGCGCATTGAACCCACATCTCCTGTACGGGCAGGCGCATTGAACCCACATCTCCTGTAGGGGCAGGCGTCATGCCTGGTGGCGCATGGTACCACTGTGCCTGAGGTGCTAATTCCCTGAATGTAATTTTAGAAATTAAGATTGCTAATTTTTTCTTAGAATATGTAAAAAAAAAGTTCTGATGGGAATTCCCTGGTGGTCTAGTGGTTAGTACTCCGAACTTCCACTTCAGGGGGCATGGGTTTGATCCCTGGTTGGAGAACTAAGATCCTGCAGGCTGTGGGGTGTGCCAAAAAAAATTTCCCAAACAATCCTCTAAAATTAAGACGCACATAAATGTGGCAATAAATAGGTTTCAGAATCCTTCTAGAAATGAATGGATAGTTAAAATACCGTTCTTGAATCCATCATCTTCTTAGTTTTCCTTAACGTTACATATGAGGCTATTGTCGAAGATTCGGGTGTTGGTGATTTTGTTCTTGGAGGGACTACTCCAACAGGAAAGTGGGAACCTAAAAATAAAAACAGCAGTAAGTTCTATAAAACATATTCACATGACATTGCTCTCTTTTCTTTGTTTGGTTTTTTTTTGACATTGCTCTCTTTTGATCTATTCAGTTTCTGAGACTTTTAAAAATTAGAATGCAAATTTATTGTTTGAAAAGAGACAGGGAAACATAACCTTTCATTAGTCATTTTATCTATAAGCCGGCAATGATGCTAACCAGACAAATTTAGGGTTATATTTAGAAATAAAGTTCTACTGACTATAACAGATGACATTAAAACATTATAAAAATTCAGTAATAATGGATCATATATCTTCACAACAACTCTGTAAAGACAAGAAGGTAAAGGAAATGCAGTTTCTGGGTTAATGGACTTCTTCATATCCATACAGCTCAGCAGCATCATGACTGGGGTTTCTGCTTTTCCCATTGTTGCTCTCCTTCATGAAATATTTACAATTATTTTCAGAGGTTGAAAGTATCTTAATCTAATCCTCTCAAACAGATGAGCAAAGTTATTGTCAGAAGGTAGTCATTTACTTAAATGTCCTTCATTTTCATTTGATCTCTTTCAATCACACTGCACTACCTCAATAAAGAATCTATTAACAATGGTAAGAGAAGTTAACTATAGGTAATTGAAGTTAACTTTTCTTTTGCATTTCTGAAAATCTCTAGAATGAGTACATACTACTTTTATAATTAGAAAACAACACACAGCTGCACATATAAAATCATTAACAAAACAAGAAAAGCCAGTGGTCAGTTAACAGAAAATGTGTTCACTTGTATCATAGTTGTCTTGTTTAAGAAGATGCACACTATTGTCCATGGAGGACACAAGTAAAAGAAGGAATTAATCAAATATGGCTTGTTGAAAAAAAAAAAATCACTCTCTCGGGGCTCATTAACGTTACATGAAATAAGTATCAACAGAAAAATGAAATCTTATTTTTCCCACTATAGTGGTCAACCATTCACAGCCCCTGTAGGTTAAGAACCAAACAATTTGCAGCTGAATCAAGATAAAATATTATGAAACTGTGTGTTTATTAGAACTGTATATTTGAGAATGTGAAGAGCTGGACTGCTACGTTACAAGTAATTTTATAAAGCAAATAAAAGACTTCTGTTGTGCCAGTCAATGGTCCATTTTTTTTTTTCAATTGAAGGATAACTGCTTTACAACTGTGGTCCATTTTTAAGAGCTCTATTTTAAGTCATGTGGTACAAAATAAATTACACTGTAATTGATCTGTATACTTCAGACAATTTATTCAGATGAAAGCCTATTATACTTTTTAAAATTTTTAACATTTAAAAAATTTTTAGGATTACACTTAAAAAAAAAAAACCCAAATTTTAAAAGAGGAAAACCTTTGAGAGAACATATTTCAGACAGTTCAGTTTTTATGAGTAAGTATATCTATGAGGTTTTTGCTGAAGAGTGTTAAAATTTGTTTATCCATACTCTTTTGACAGATTATGTTACTGCTTCCAGTTTTTGTCTACTATGAATTAAAGCTTGCTTTAAAGACCCTTGAATAAGTCTTTGTGAGGAATTATGTTTTCGTTTTTCTTAGGTAGATACATAGGATTCCTAAGTTTGATAAGTGCATGTTTAACTTTATAAGAAGCTGCCAGACTATTGTTCTATCTTTGACCACCTCAGAAATGTGTGCGGTCCACATCCTAACCGACACTAGGTAGTCAGTCAGTCTTTTAAGTTCAGTCATTTTAGAAGGTGTGCATTGTGATTTTTATTGCCTTAAAACTGCAATTCTTTTATGATCAGTAAGTTGTAAACTTTTCCATGTGCTTACTGGTCATTTGTATACCTTATTTGTTAGCTCTCCAAGGCTTATATGCCTGCACTAGGTTGTTTATTATTGATTTACCAGAGTTGTTTATTTATTTTGGATACAAGGGTTTTGTCAGGTATTATGTATTGGTAATTTTTTCTCCTGTTCTGATGGGCAAAAGTTCTAAATTTTGATGAAACCAAATTAATCAGTTTTCACTGAAAGTATACCCCTCAGAGGGTCCCAATTTTATCTGACTGGTTTTCCTAGCAGACTACTAATACGTTCATGCTCTGAGCTTTGTCCTGTCACAAAGTGAAAGCTGGCTTTCATGCTCCACTTAGTAACTTCCTGGATGCTTCCTGCTATAGACTGAAGTGGTCTTCCTAAAATTCCTGCTGAAACCCTAACCCCTGATGTTGTTGACCTGGACATGGTGCTTAAAAAGAGCAGACTGAGTAGACTAATGATGTGTCTGATGTGTCAGATGTGTCTGACTCTTTGTGACCCCATGGACTGTTAGCCTTCCAGGCTCCTCTGTCCATGGGATTCTCCAGGCAAGAGTACTGGAGTGGGTAGCCATGTGATCTTCCCACCCGGAGCTCGAACCCAGGTCTCCTGCACTGCAGGTGGATTCTTTACTATCTGAGCCACCAGAGAAGCCCAGACTAACGAACCACCCTTCATGTAATTTTCTGACTGAACATTCCTTTCTTTACTTTTCTTCAATTTGTTGAAGCTTCTCAAAAAATTTAAGTGGTATGAACCAGCTTTTATATAAAAGAGCTGGGTCTTAGTTGCAGCATGCGGGATCTTTTAGTGGTGGTATGCGAACTCAGTTGCGGCATGTGGGATCCAGTTCCCCGATCAAGGATCAAACCCAGGCTCCCTGCATTGGGAGCACAAAGTCTTAGCCACTGGACCACCAGGAAGTTCCTGAACTAACTTTTTTTTTTTTCTCCTGGCTGCACCAAGTCTCTCAGTTGTGGCACTTGGGATCTGAAGATTTTGCTGTGGCATGCAGGACCTTTTCAGTTTGGGCATGCAAGTTCTTTGTTATGGCATCTAAGATCTAGTTCCCTGACCGGGGATTGAACTAGGGCTCCCTGCATCGGGTCCGTGGAGTTTGAGCCACTGGGCCACCAGGGAAGCCCCTGAACCAGTTTTTATAATCACTGTTTGTGGGAGGATTGGCCAGGGTATCTAGTTACCAAAAACATTTACTTTGGTTTGCTGTCTGATAACTCCTGCATATTTATAACTACATGCAACAATATGGTAAGCACTAAGACTGTGACTCTAACTTAAATTTGTCTGTGAAAAGAGAAAGTTAACAAAGACTTTCTATGAGAAGATAGGACTTGAACAAGAAAGGTGTATATATATATTAATTTTTCAAGATGGCAGTATTTTTCTAATAGAAAAAAAAAAAAAACACTGACATTAGAAAACCTTGAAAAATACTCCAATTATGGAAAAAGCTATGTGAATATTACCATTTCATATTGTTCAAAATTTACTTTGTGACCCTCTAGCAGGTTTAAAAAAATTGACTAGGGAGTTATGATGATCAGAAATTACTTTTCTGAAAAACCCCACATTCTAGAGTATTTGTTTTATCTCTAACAAATTTTTGGTGAAACATTTTTGAAAGTAAGTCACAGATACTTTACTCCTAAGTGTTTCAGAATTCACTTACTACATCTCCTAAATAACCACAGTATCACAGTATCATTAGGCAGTATCTAGAACCTATGTAAATTTCCATTATTCTCCAAAGAATGTCTTTAGAGCTCTTCTTTTAAACGATGATCAACTCAAAGTTCAAGTACTGTACTATATTTGTTTTTTTCTGTCTTATTCCTAATAGCCCCCTCTCTATCCTTTTTTTTAATTAATATTGATTTCTTAAAGAATGACTAGCGTTAAAAAATAATCAGATGACTTCCTTGGTGGTCCAATGGCTAAGACTATGAGCTCCCAATGCAGGGGGCCCAGGTTTGATCCCTGGTCAGGGAATTAGATCCCACATACTTCAACTAAGACTCAGCACAGCCAAATAAATATTAAAAGATAATCAGAGTATACACAGTAAAAATAAGCATTATTTCATAGAATTTACTTTTATAGAAATTGTATAAAAGTCTGTCTTATTCCTAATCTTTTATGTATAATTTTGAAAGAGTAAAAACCAAAAAATAAAGTGTCAGGTTAGGAAATAGAAAGTTTTTCACAAAATTGACATAAACTTATTTCTCAATAAAACCTCACCTGAACTGACATGAAGTTTTTTAGTCTTCATCCCACAAAGGATGAATAGTCCAAAAATATTACTGTGTTTTAAAAAGGAGATTCCTAGCAGAGAAGGTGACTTATAATATACAGTTTATGGGTCATATTATTGTCCCAATATCTGAAAACTTCTAAATTCAGAAACTCGTCAGATTCCACAGGTTTCAGATAAGGGGTTGTGGGCTCATATATGTACTCTGTCAGCATGTAAACTGAATTTGTTTCTAAAATGTCTGAAAGACACAGGAGATAAGACATATCACAAATGCTAACCTTTAACAGAAGTTTCTATTTCCGAAGCAGGTTCTGATTTTTCTTCTCCATTAGACTCATCAACTTCGGCCACTGTTGTTAATTCTGGCTCACTCTTGTAGAGTCTATAATCTGGACCCTTGAAAGAAAGATGTGTAATTACAAAAAAAAAAGGTAAAAGTCTTTTTAAAACTGTTTACCTTACACTCTTAACAATCAAAAGCCTCAGTCAGCTATATTGGATATAAATCAATTAATATATATGTTATAATTAGGATAGGAAAAAAAAGACTTTGAAAGATTTTTAACCAGTATATCTTTTGGTTTTAAAATTAAGAATATTCCTCTTAAGGACAAAGCCATCAGAACATTTTTATCACAGTAAAACTAAAGTCTGAAAATAATTATATCATATTAACTCAATTAGCCCTATTTCTTTTTTTCCTGTTCTCTTCTTCTTGCTTATTACATTTAACACATTTACTTAATCTCTAAGCTTTATTCTAGTTTCCATGAGTAATGTCTCTTCCTGGCAATGTCCAAATCCTCTAACAGTTTTCCTAGACCGAACTGCCCATATCCCAACCTTTTTATCATTCCTGATAAGAATCTTTTTCTTCCTTGCATCTTTCTGATTTAAAGATATCACTTTGCCTCCAATATCCTGAAATGGTAGATTTAAAATATAGCTCCTTAAACACATGCAACATAACCACTTGATGAAAATATTCATGAAAAGCAACAAAGTATGAAATATTAAAATCGGGGGGAAATGACAATAAGAAACATAAAACTAAAACAGGAAAAACACAGACGATGATGTTATATATGAACACAAAAGTACTGGCTAAAAGTGATGTGATAATAATAAAAAGAAAAGATTGAGTCAAAAATAAATTGTTGGGAAAAATGAGGGCATGTACGATTGATTACTCTGTGGCTATTGCAGCCACTTACACAGTGGGATCCATTTCTTGGATATCCTTGAACTTGGTGAATCTTCTTTTCTTCGGGCAGATGGACAGGGCCCCTGCTATAACAGAGCAAGGAGCTGCTATCACTGGGCAGAGGGGGGATTATGGGAGGCTGGTCTGTAAAGTCATAGGACCGAGGAAGTGGAGGACGAGGTGGGACTACTTCCTCTTCCTAAAGATTGTAGAATAGTCACCTTATTTAGATAAGCATATTGAATTAAGTATATCGAAATTCTTTGCAATGGTAAGTTAACTTATATTCACTTTAAGAAAATTAAAGGGACACTGCCAAGTCAAGAGTCTCATATCAAAAAGTAAAACCAAGAATGTTTATGATAGCCAATAACTGGGTTTTAAATTTGGTTGCATCTCATTTTTTCGGTAACCACAGGTTAGATTTACTCTGAAGCTCAACATCAAAACAAATTTATGAAACTACTGTATTTCATTTTAAAAATAGAAGCATTAATTTTAAATATCTCGCTCTGTTTTGTTTAAGTAAATTTAAGAAAAAAAAATTTTATTTCTGGTTGACTTTTATACAAAATTCAAGACAACAGATGCTTTCAACTAGGTTGACAGTATCTCTTTATAGTTGTAATTTCTTTATGGTATGCATGATACACAGCCAACTTATCTATCAGTCATCTCATACACTTAAAAAAATACACCAAACAATGATAAATACTCAAATTACTTAGATTAGAAAAAGTATGACAATGTTAAAGTTCTAACATAGATGAAAAGTGGTGATTCAAAATTTTTTACATTAAAAAAAGGGAAGAAGATCACATTCGTTAAAAGCACCAAATTACTGAACCAGTGAAATTTCAAGATTAAGACAATAACAGATATATTTAGAAGACATTTTGGTTATGAATAAATTCTAATTCATGTTTTAATTATAAATTAAAATAATTATAGTAAGAGAAACAATCCAAACTTACCTCATTTTTGTACTTAACTGTTGAGAAAGGCTTTGATCCTATCATACCTATTAAAAAAAAAGTAAACTATAACTACTTACATTAAACATACCTTTTTAAATCTATAGAAAAAAGGAACAATTCCATTTTGCTTATTTTCAACAAAGGCTTTAGTTTCTAACCCCCAGTTTATTAACGTTTTCTGAATTTAAAACCCAATACATTGCTATACAGTAGAAATTAACACATAAAGCCACCATAATTCAATAAAATAAATTTAAAAACTCATTACATTAAAAATACAAACTGAAATATCTAATTTAAACAACAGTATGGGCAAATGGGTTCTCTCAAATACAACTGGTTTAAGTATGATTTGATACAATCTTTTAGGAGAGCACTTTGGCTGTGCCTATCAAAATGAAAAATGTAAACTTATTTCTCGTTTTCTAGAATCCATTCAGTACTAGCATGTGTGTTTATCATGTACGCAGTAATGTTCATTATATGAAAGAAAAACAAAAATAAACTCAACCCACCACCAACCTGGAAGCAATCTACTGAAAAAAATACACTGTTCGTCAACACTGAACTTGATAAATTACAGTTTACCTATACAATGTATTCTGACACACCTGTTACTACACTGTGTTGTTAAGGAGAAAAAAGCATACCGATGAAAAACAGCAGTTTCCATTATGGGGAAAAAACTACTCAAACCAAAATATTGTGTGTCTTTATAATTACAGACACAAAACAATGATTTATTTTTGTCTGAGTGTGGCTGGGAGAAATTTTGCTTTCTATGTTACATATAAACGTGGGTACTAATTCATTATTACAAAGTACCTGTTTCCTAACGCCAAAAATTCAGTGAAATAACAAGAGAAATCCAATTCTGCACGTCATTTCATCTAGATAATAATATGGTCAATTAGTGTGGAATAAAAGACAACACTAATGTACCTGTTTCCGAAGTGCCTCTCTGCTGCTTGTGTTTGCTCAGTCCTTCCATGACATCCTGAATTCTCCAGAGTTCTTTCTGAATTTGTGCACGCTGAATCCCTGCTGATTCGGTCTATCCGTAAAAATGGATATACCACACACAAGGGTAGGGGGAGGGAGAGAAATCATGAGATACAGTTATAAATTCCACTAAGTACATATCTAAAAAATGAGAACCACATTGGATTTACTTTTGAGACTATTTAATATAATCTGTGTGTCCTTCTCAGTTTTGCAATGTCAATGATGAAAGAAAGCAGAGAAAGAGAAAAATTTAATATTTCAGACCTACATGGTACACTATTTCATATCTTTTCAATAAGCACTGTGTTGCATTATTTACAATCGGGAAGGAATACTGACTAGATGGGACTAAAAATGGGGAACCTCCCCTAAACCAAAACCAACCAAACAACACAAAAGCACAACAGAACAGAAACTCACCAACCTCAAATTAAACAAAACATTTTTAGGGGGAAGAAAAGGAAAGTATTTTAGCTTCCTAAGTTTTAGAAAGACATGCCAAAAAAGAAAGGGCAATTTACAAAATATATTTTGAAGAGTTTTGACTGATAGAGTTAAAAAGAATTTTCAGGACAAATTTTCAGCTTGCCATTTTATTATTGCCATCTTAATTCTAACCTAAAGTTTTATCTACTTTTTTTTAACCTCTAATACCCCATTTCATGACCTTAGGTTAAATACCCTAATTGAAACAAAAATAAGAAATATTGTTCTAACAAAACTCTATGACTCATTGATAAATAGTAAAACAATAAATATCATTTTTAGGACTATAACTTAAGAAGAAACAGGTAAATAAGTATGAAAATTGTCATGATTATGATAGCCCTGAAATGTGAATACCAACAAAGACTTGTGAGAGGGAATATAAACTACACAAATCAGACAGTTGCATATACAGAATATGTATTATTTTTGTAATAATTTAAAAGAATACATATTTCTGTGTACCTGAAAAGTGTTTAATGAAAATCTCATTTTTATTTTATTTTGCACTTCTCTGGTTCCTAGTTACACTGACCAACTTTTCAAACACTTGTTAGCAAACTATGTCATTAAGTTTTCTATCAATTGAAACTATTCATGTTCTTTGTCTATTTTTCTAATGCATTTCTGTTTCTCCAAACCAAAATGAAAAAGTTTTCTGCAAATCTCGTTAATAACTTGTTGAATTTTTAGAGGTTCAAGATACTTCTTCCTAGTATGTCATTTTTCAAGTTTTCTATGTTGTTTTCATTGTTTACTTATGTATTTAACAAACAATTATATATAATATGTTTTATTTGCCTGGTTCTATTCTAAGTGCTTTAAAAAAATCAACACATTTAACCATCATAATAACCCAACAGGGGTAGATACTATTATTAATTTTATTTTACTGAGTGGAAACTGAGGCATATGTAACTGGCCTAAGGTTATATGTACAATGCTACTTCTCATAAGATGTGCCTCCTAGTTTTTCATTTTTTTACAAAGCGTCTAACTACTTGTGGTCTTTATTATACCTTAAAAATATAGAACCATTTTGTGATTTTCTTTTTTGGAAATTTGATTGGAATAGAAATTATGCTTATGGGAAGAATTTTCATTCTGATACTGTTAAATCAGGTCATCAACAACACAGTATAACAATTAATACCTCTCCATTTATTCAGGTCTTCTCTTATGTCCTGTACTAATTAAATATTCATGTGCTCAGTCTCTCAGTCGTGCCCAGCTCTTTGCGATCCTATGGACTATGTAACTTGCCAGGCTCCTCCGTCCACGGAATTTTACAGGTGAGAATACTGGAGTGGGATGCCATTTCCTTTTCCTAAATTTTTGTGATGAATCTTTTTTATTAGGTTAATCAGGACTGCAAACTACTTTGGTTCACAGCTTCTTTTTTATGGCCTATGGCCTAAAAATTAACTTTACACTCTTACTCTTAAGGGGTTATTAAAAATCCCAAGTACGAAAGATTTTGTGGCAGAGTGTATATACTTGCAACATCTAGAGTCTTTAATATCTGGCCTTTTACAGATAAAGTTTGCTGATCCCTTGGTTATATTTTAGATATTTACCTTTTTAATATTGCATTGAGTAACTTCAGTGTACAAAACAGAAGTCACAACCACACACGGCTACTTAAATTTAGATAATTAAAAATTACTAGCAACACTGCAAATGCGCAACAGCTACACTAGCAACATTGAAGGGCCTAAAAACAACATGTGGTTTAGTGATTCTATTTTGGATAGCAGGCACAGAAGACAGGTGACTTTCTATACCAACCTCACTATCCATTTATTGTACTGAACTGTTGAGTCCACTGGGATTCCAATGCAAATTACACAGGGTAACAAGTATGAAGTGACTTTTATTATTATTTTTTAAAACATATATAATCTCCATTCCCCAGGATAATATTTTAACTTGGCTATTAGTATTTTCAGCTTGCAGACAAGAAAACAAACACCTGGACCTGAGCTCCCCAACTATTCCCAAAATTGGATTCTTGAAGTGACTTAGCAGCAGCTGCAGCAGGCCGAAAGTTGCCACATCTTCCCCTATTCTAATTAATATAGCAGTAAAGATAATGAGCTACAACAGTTTGATAAAGGAGAGGGATTTAAAGTAGAATAGATAAAGTAATTTGATACTTCAATGGCAAGTGACTGCGAGGAGCACAGGGCACCCTGGGGCTCACTATGTGCTCAACAGAATAAAGAACTTTTAAACAACGAGGGATGGGCTACTTTGTGAGACAGTAAGATTCCTATCATTGAAAGCACTGAAATCCAGATGTTAGGTAGCTAGTTCTGCAACGAATGTTGAAGCTGTGAGTGAATTCAACAAGATGGATTGCACAGTACCAGTCAAAGCCAGTTAGAACAACGTAAGCATATTATGATTCTGTACCTGAACTTCACCGAGGCGATCCAGCTGCTCTTGCATCTGGTTCCTGGTAACAGTTACGTCATACTCTAACTTATCATATTCTCTCCACGCTCGTTCCAGTTCCTAAAATCAAAGGGCTTTAATTACTTTCACGGAGAAAATGTGCTGGTATGTTATCGCTCTTGTAATCAATAATGGGCCAAGTACAACATGTTATAACTCATTTCCCTTGACTTTTTTTCCTCTCATTTAGCTCAATTTAAGAAGAATGTTGAGCAACTGAATTATTTATTATTGTGCTGCTGTATTCAAATTTCACTAAAAAAATAAAAAACAAACAAAAATAGCCCCCAAACAACTCAAACAAACACACTTTATATTATTTATTCATTCATGACGTCAAAATATTCAGCTGATTGTAGGATCTAAAGAGGTTTATTTGGAGAAAATATGTTATTTTATTCATGATAATACATTAATTTTTTCTTGAAAGTGGTTTCTTAAAATGCAGAAGAGGCATAAGTAAAATATTTTCTTATGTTGTGATTAACATTTGTCCAGAAATAAAAACACTAAATAGGCTGTAATTTTAGCATGTCAGATTTTCAATAACACTGGAAGCTTGACATAACTTTACTTAGAATAAATATACAGTCATGTAATGATTTCCTTTTCTTGGGATCCAAAATCAATGCAAATGGTGACTGCAGCCACAAAATTAAGACACTTGCTCCTTGGAAGAAAAGCTACAACAAACCTAGATAGCATATTGAAAAGCAGAGACATCACTTTGCCAACAAAGGTCCATATAAACAAAGTGATGTGATGGCTTTTCCAGTACTCATGTATTGATGTGAGAGTGGACCATAAAGTAGGCTGAGCACCAACTGAGCACACTGTTCCAACTGTGGTGCTGGAGAAGACTCTTTAGAGTCCCTTGGACTGCAAGGAGATCAAACCAGTCAATCCTAAAGGAAATCAGTCCTGAATATTCTTTGGAAGGACTGGCGCTGAAGCTGAAGCTGCTATACTTCAGCTACCTGATGCAAAGAGCTGATTCACTGGAAAAGACCCTGATGCTGGGAAAGACTGAAGGCAGGAGGAGAAGGGGTCGACACAGGATGAGACGGTTGGATGGCATCACTGACTTGATGGACATAAGTTTGAGCAAACTCTGGGAGATAGTGAAGGACAGAGATGCCTGGTGTGCTGCAGTCCATAGGGCTGCAGAGAGTTGGACATGACTTGGGGACTAAACAATAAAAAATGAACCTAATTCAGCTAACTAATCTAGTGATCCTGCTTGTAGAGACTTGACAGAGGTACTACCCACCTATACTTTTCTTCTTTGGGGAAAGAAAACTACCCCTAAACCTCAAATCAAGAGAAAACTTTCATACTTAATCCTTAACCACCTGTCAGCTATTTAATACAGAATAATTCTACAAGTGCTCAAAAATACATTGTCAGGGAGGATAAAATGACAATAACAGATTCATCATCCTAAAAGATGATGCTGTGAAAGTTCAGTTCAGTTCAGTTCAGTCGCTCAGTCATATCTGACTTTGCAACTCCATGAACCACAGCACGCCAGGCCTCCCTGTCCATCACCAACTCTCGGAGTCTACTCAAACTCATCATGTTCGTTGAGTCGGTGATGCCATCCAACGATCGCATCCTCTGTCGTCCCCTTCTCCTCCTGCCCTCAATCTTTCCCAGCATCACAGTCTTCTCAAATGAGTCAGCTCTTTACATCAGGTGGCCAAAGTATTGGAGTTTTGGCTTCAACATCAGTCCTTCCAATGAACACCCAGGACTGATCTTTAAGATGGATTGGTTGGATCTCCTTGCAGTCCAAGGGACTCTCAAGAGTCTTCTCCAACACCACAGTTCAAAAGCATCAGTTCTTCGGAGCTCAGCTTTCTTTATAGTCCAACTCTCACATCCATACATGACTACTGGAAAAGCCACAGCCTTGACTAGACGGACCTTTGTTGACAAAGTANTAAAAAGCAGAGACATTACTTTGTCAATGAAAGTCCGTCTAGTCAAGGCTATGGTTTTTCCAGTAGCCATGTACGGAGGTGAGAGTTGGACTATAAAGAAAACTGAGTGCAGAAGAATTGATGCTTTTGAAGTGTGGTGTGGAAGAAGACTCTCGAGAGTCCCTTGGACTGCAAGGAGATCCAACCAGTCCATCCTAAAGGAGATCAGTCCTGGGTGTTCACTGGAAGGACTGATGTTGAAGCTGAAACTCCAATACTTTGGCCACCTCACGCGAAGAGCTGACTCATTGGAAAAGACCCTGATGCCGGGAAAGATTGAGGGCAGGAGGAGAAGGGGACAACAGAGGATGAGATGGCTGGATGGCATCACTGACTCAATGGACACGAGTTTGAGTAGACTCTGGGACTTGGTGATGGACAGGGAGGCCTGGCGTGCTGCAGTCCATGAGGTTGCAGAGAGTCGGACACGACTGAGCGACTGAACTGAACTGCACAGACTCAGTGGCTGTCCAGCAATGAGAGGAGATGGCATTGCCAGGCAGACACGGAACCTCTCTTGTAGAAAAGTTGAGAGGGAGATCAAAGCTGCTGTGTGTGTGCTCAGACGCTCAGTCATGTCTGACTCTCTGCAACCCCGTGAACTGTAATCCACCAGGCTCCTCTGTTTATGGGATTCTCCAGGCAAGAATATTGGGGTGGGTTGCCATTTCCTCCTTCAGGCGATCTTCCTGACCCAGGGATTGAATTTGGATCTCCTGTGTCTCCTGCATTGGCAGGCAGATTCTTTACCACTGAGCCACCTTGGAAACCCACAGTGGCTACAGGGGCAGCTAAATCCGAGAACATTTTAGTATGGTGGGGAATTCTTGTCTTTAACAAAAAACCCAGAGATCTACAGGCAGAGCCTACTTTGCTAATGTTCTAGGGGTGAGGAAACACAATATACTTTGAATTTCCCTAAGCTGGAGAATCCTGCCATTCCACTGTACCAGTGCTGCTATCCTGCTGTGCCTGTTTCTGCCTTGCCCTCTGGGCTCCTCCAGCATGATCACGTGTGAGGAGTAACAAAAGTCAGTGGGAAGCAGCCAGCACCAGGGCAGCCCTGGCCCATACCAGCCCTCCCAACACCTGGCCAAGCGTCTCATTAAAGAGTTTAGTGGCTTATCCCAGTACAAGGTTAAAATCTTTAAATGTGACATTAGCATTTTTTGTCAAGAAGATAATATCTAGGTACACTAAGGCAATTAAAAGGGGTGATGAGTTGCACATATACAATTATCTTAAAATCACAGGCGCAAGTCAGGAAACACAGCAGTGCTTTCAATAAAGACCTGGACTTTCCAAGCCATATAGTTAGGAGCATGAGATAAATCCTGAGATTTAGAACCATACGGACGAACCTCATAATGTTAAGAGAAGCCAAACAGTATATCCTATATGATTATACTTTAACAAAGTCCAAGACAGGCAAACCTAATATATAGTTTAAAAGTCAGGTAGTCGCTTTTTTTGGGGAGGAGGCAGTCATGGAGAAGAGAGCATCCTATTAAAATGCAATGCCTCGAAAGGATGTTGGCCATGTCTGTGCAGTTAATCTGTGTACTTTTCTGAGAAAATGTTTTACTCTAACAAGGTTTTAAAAAAAAGTGCATGTGCCTGTGTGGACTTGCTACAAGGATGGCAGAAAACTTTTAAAAAATTTGACTCAGTCTAAGTTTACAGCATGGAAGAAGCAAATTTTAATAGTGGTTACTTCTTTATGGTCTATACTGAGATAAGATTTGGCTACTGTAGGGGGAAAAACCCAAAGTTTAAGTAGGTCTGCAATATTCAGAGGCAACGAATCCCCAGACTACCAAAAAGAGATGAAAGAGAATTTTAATATGTAACTACAGAGCCACGGCAGCAATGTATTGTGGGCTTTATTAAGAAGGGATTAAGACTGATGATTCATTTCCAAGTTTTTAATGTAATAAGAACTTTCCTTTCCTTGTCCAGAACCAATGGCAATTTATAACAAAATCTACCCATGGGAATAGTCACACAATATGATACACATGAATGTAGATGTTATTACATTATGCTTAGAGCTAATAGACTGGTCTGCTTCTGGTTTGCCTCTCAAGCAGTGTTCCTGAGTTCTAATCTAAGAAATGTTAATCTACTGTTCTATTTTTTATTAAAAAAAATGTCAAGCATAAGAAATTGGCAGTAGATTTTGCTTCAAAATAGAGATGAGGGAGTAATACAGATACAGTGTAATTATTAGCTTCTTTTTGCCTTTCCATTGTGTCCTTTGGACAGCAAGGAGATCAAACCAGTCAATCCTAAAGGAAATCAACACTGAATATTCACTGGAAGGGCTGATGCTGAAGCTGAAGCTCCAACACATTGGCCACCTGATGCGAACAGCTGACTCATTATGCTGGGAAAGACTGAGGGCAAAAGGAGAAAGGGGCGACAGAGGACGCGATGGTTGGATGGTATAACTGACCCAAAGGACATGAGTTTGAGCAAACTCCGGAGACAATGAAGGACAGGGAAGCCTGGCATGCTGTAGTTCATGGGGTTGCAAAAGGCTGGACATGACTTAGCAACTGAACAACAACAAAATTAGCTTCTTAAGCTCCAACAACCCTTCATGTTTAAATATTACAGATTAATGTCCACAACTACACCTTGGAAAATTAAAAATACTGCAGTATTTAAATTTGGCTTCCCTGGTAGCTCAGCAATCTCCCTGCAATGCAGGAGTTGTGGGTTCAATCCCTGGGTCAGGAAGATCCTCTGTAGAAGGAAATGGCAACCCACTCCAGCACTCTTGCCTGGAAAATCCCATGGACAGATGGGCCTGACAGTCCATGGGGTTGCAAAAGAGTCTGACCTGACTCAGCGACTGAACAGCAAACAATTTAAACTTACCATTATGTTTTGGTGATTAGGCACAAAAAATATTAATTTTGGCCATTATTACCCAATGATAACAATTCTGCAAACTGGGTATCAGAACTAGTTGATTTTTGAGTTGATGTAGAGATTTCTTGGCATAGATATTAACAATGTGTTTAGAATTTGAATAATTAAAAAAATATTTTAAATGATTTTATACTTGCCTTA